TGCATTGACACGTTAATAAACTCATACTTGGATGATATAGGCTAATTAATTATGATTCATAGTTTTACTAATAATTCATACATGATAAATCCATGTAAAATACAGTGAGACACTGATATTTCAGTGTTTGTCTACCAACTAGGTACCTATAAAGTATAAGTTATTAAAATTGTTAAGTTTATAACTGTTTTTAACATTGTATAGTTTCAACTTAACACGTGAGCAAGGTACCTTTGCCTTACCGAGCTTCAGCATTCTGGACACGGTACTTGGTGATACTTGTCCTAGGACATCATTTTGTCAACCTCATAAATATAGATCAACCGATGGGTCTTGTAATAACATCAAACACGAGCTATGGGGACGAGCTAGTACGGCTTTACAGAGAATTCTTCCTCCAAAGTATGGAGACGGTAAGTGCCTAGACTCAATTTTAAATAAAACATTTTACGTCTTATAATCAGTACTCAGTAGAAAAATACCTGTTTTTCAATCATATATATATATAAGTATTCTACATTTCTACCTATATATATAACCATTATAATAATTTACAATTTTTTTCTTAAAATAATGCATAAGTAATTATTTTATCACATCATTATTAATTAATAATTAATATAGGTATATTATAATAAATAATTAAATAAATATAATAAATAACATTCATCGTTCCACTCAAAATTTAAAATGATTATTTTAATGGTTTGCCTTTTGCTACAATTTAATGGACCAATCATGGCCCACTAAATCGTGCTTAGGAGTTAGGGACCATTAGCCCACTTTTGATTCATCAAATGTTTAGTGGTATTATCGTAGCAACCCAGCACAAATATAATAATTAATAACTAATAAGTATAACAATATAGGTAGGTCAGGCCCTATTTTTTAGTGAACCCCGACACAAAGTGTGTAGTCCGAAATTAGAAGTGTGCACTTCGGATTTAATAAGTGTGTACTAATGAATAAGACTATACAAATAAATAGATTATAATTGGTAGGTAATAATGTACAATATAGTATATCTACATAGTACATAATATTATGCAGTATACTAATATTACACTAAGTATACATAAAATTAAAACATAATTTTTAAAAATGAAAACCTTTATGATAGGTGGGTACCAAAAATAAATTGTTTTCAGTTCCATTTTAACAAATTGATATTTACTTCTCTACATTGAATCGCTAATGAACTATTACGAAGGTTGGATACCTTTAGTTATTTCTGTGTTATGATTTTGACTCTTTTATATTTATAAAAAGTTATGCCCCATATTTTACTGAATAATATATCAATTTAAATTTAAATTCTTGGTCCTCTTTGTCACTGTGTCAAAATATCATTGTAAATAAACTATAAAGTGTGTAGTACGAATTTTTTTGAAAAATAGGGGCCGAGGTAGGTTACTTATATTATTAAACTGGTTATTTAGATACTGCAGAAGCAGTAGCATGTAAAACCTATACTTATTATAAATGGTTGAGGGTTAGCTATTATGAAATAAATTGTACCTATAAACCCTAAATCTTAATTATTGTCTATACGGACCACGATAATAGATGAGTAATAGGTATATTGTGTAGAGATAGACGATATAACAGATAGTACGGGACTATTAGATAATAAGATATAAAACATATTCCTATTTATAATGCTATAATTTGTATTAAAAATTAATACCGGCTTAATAAATATACGACACTTAGGTGTGAATTCACCGAGGTCGAGAGCAGCCAACGGGTCGCCGTTGCCAAGTGCAAGACAAGTGAGCGTCACATTCACGCAAGACGTGGATTCGCCATCTGAAAATTACACAATGTTGTTGATGCAATGGGGACAATTTTTAGACCACGACACTACGCACACACCCATAAGCAGAGGTCAAATGGGTAGCGGGATATCGTGTTGCAGGAATGGACGAGAAATCGAAAATTCACTACGGCATCCGGATTGTTTCCAGATAGAAATCCCCCGCAACGATCAAATGTTCGCGCCTTTCGGCGAGAGGTGCATGGAGTTCGTCAGATCACTGCCTGCGCCGCGTCCCGAATGTAATTTCGGACCTAGGGAACAGGTAAAAAAAAAATAGAGAAACATATACTATGCAAACTCGCAACTAAAATTTTATTCAAAACACTGACGATTGTTTTATGATTCTATCTTTAGATGAACCAAATCACAGCTTACCTCGATGGGTCCAATATTTACGGGTCTTCGTTGAGCACTCAGCAAAGTCTCCGAACGTTCCGAGGCGGCACTCTGCAGTCGCAAAATATCAGAGGAAAGCAGCTTTTGCCGGGAAATCCTTCAGAGTGTTCCGACGATACGGGCAGATCAGCTTGTTTTAAGGCGGGTAGGTAGACACTACTAGACACTATAGGTCTTGACAGTTGACTAGTTTTATTTTATAAAACTATGTGTACTACTTGCGCAGGCGACGGACGAGTAAACGAACAAATAGATTTAGCTCTATTGCACACCATTTGGCTACGCGAACATAATCGTATCGCTTTCGAATTGTCCCGACTGAACCCTCGTTGGAGCGACGAAGCAATATTCCAAGAAACGCGGAGAATAATAATTGCTCAGTTGCAACACATAACCTACAATGAATTTTTGCCAATCATTTTAGGTAAGGTTACCTTCTTACATATATGAAAACCCAACGAAATGTAATACGCAGTTCTAACGATTTCCCTGGTACAGGTAGAAGTTACATGACCAAGTTTGGGCTATCTCCAGCAGAAAGTGGATGGGCAAGGAATTACGATCCAGAATTGAATGCTGGAATAACCAATGCCTTTGCGGCTGCTGCTTATCGATTTGGCCACACACTTATTCAGGGAAACATCCAGTACGAAGATTTCTAGACGGAATGTAATAATTTTATTAGAGTGTAGTTTAATAAAGCTTATAATTATTTTAGTGGCTATGGAAAATTTGGCAACATCAGAGAAAATCTTGTACTCAGTAAACAGCACTTTGCACCATTTAATTTGTATAAAGAAGGTGCTTTAGATGACTTTATCAGAGGAATATCTTTCCAAAGTTCTCAAAACTTTGATAGATTTTTTACTAAAGAAGTAATTTGAAAAATCGTCTAAGCACACTAATCACACTTTCTAACCTTACTTACTTAACTGTATTTTAATTATACATTACTTCTTTAGATCACTGATCATTTATTCCAAGGTAATCTAAATTTTGGACTTGATCTAGTAGCATTGAATGTACAAAGAGGGCGTGACCATGGTTTACCACCGTACAATGAATGGCGACAAGTATGTGGGTATGAAAAAGCAAGAAACTGGAACGATTTAGAAGAATATATGGACCCACAAGTACATTATACTATTATACTAATATTTAGGACTATGAATTTAATGAACTAAAAATTCCACAATAAAATGTGAAATTATGCAAAATAAATTAAATACCTACCTACCTAAGGAAAATTCACAAAATTATTATGATTTGAAAGGTAGGTGACTAATTATGAAAAAAAATATATCAACATCTACTTTTTATATGAGTAAAAAATGCTAATCCTTACTTTTTCTCCAAATTATGCAATAAAAATAATATTATGTTTCGGCATCTGTTTATACACAAGAGCTTTTTAAATATGGCAAATAAAATGTTGTACAAAGAGCCTAAGCATAATCGCAACTACTACTAGGGTCATTTTTTTTTTGGGGGGGGGGGCTAGAATTGTATAAGTTACACAGAGACGCAGGGGCTTTGCCCCCGCACCATCCTAACTAATAAACCGGATGGCTACTGACAATACACAAATAAATTCATATATTAAATCAATACTAATTTTCTATTAGCTACAGCAAATTTGTCTCCAAACTATTTGTTACGTCTCTTTCAATATTTATTAATTGGAGTTTTTTTAATTTGAAAAAATAATATTTTAATTTCTATAACAAATAAAAAATTTGTAAGTCATGACTTACTTTTTAATTTATATTTGTACCTATTATGTGGAAGTCGGATAAATATTTGGGGGTGGGGACTCGACAACTATTTGGAAAGGCTAAGCCCCCCCCCCCTAATTGCGCCTATGAGTCTATGAATGTTAATAATTTTAATGATGTATGTATCTCACATCTTATTAATTCAGGGTTAAATTCATAAATATCAAAAAATCAATAAATTCACTATCCTGATAATATATTAAAATGTCATAGAATATTACCATCAATGTCAACAATATTTTTTTTTTTTCAGACTATTACTAGACTTGCAAGGTTGTATGGTTCAGTAGATGAAATAGACTTATATATTGGAGGAGTTTCAGAAAAGCCAATGAAAGATGCTTTGGTTGGACCAACTTTTGTATGTATCATTGGAGATCAGTTTTCTAGGCTTAGACGTGGTGACAGATTTTTTTATGAAGAAGGCGGTCATCCATCGTCTTTTGATCAAGGTAACTAAATTTAACAATCGTATAGAATGCATTTATATTATATAACTAATACAATTATTATTTTAGTTCAACTACAAGAACTCAGAAAGAGTAGTTTAGCAAGATTATTGTGTGATAATTCTGATGATATGGCCCTCATTCAACCATTGGCTTTTTTAAAACCGTCGTTTTTGTAAGAATTTTATAATTATATATAATACCTATTTACTGGCTATCCATATCAGTACAACTAATAGTTGTTATGGTTTTCAGGAATCAAAGGGTAGCTTGTGCAAGTTCTTCTATACCAAAAGTGGATTTAAGAGCATGGGCTGGAGAAAGAACAGCAGTACCATAACCTTGAAATTGTATTAACTTCCACACCAATCGGAAAATTAAATTGTTATACAAATAGGGGATTAATGAACCAATGAAAAAACATTTATGGTATTCATTTGACATAAATTGAATATTAATCACTGTAGATTATAAAAATTGTAAATAAACTTATGCAAAACATTCAAATTATATTAATTTACAAATTATTATAAATATTTTAATATTCAAACTAAAAATTCCTCATTGATTTTCATCTTCATCTATTTGTTTTGAAAATGATTTCTTTTGAACTGGTCTACATTCTGGATATTTATCAGTCAAAAAACTCCTTATTTCACCATACTCAGCCAATAAGTTATATTTTGCCTAATAATAAAAGAATTGATAAAAAATAGTTAAATTATTTAGAACTAATCTATTATAAATAATAAATAAATAAAATTTATTTCAGTGGCATACTTAGAACTGAATTTTTATTTTATGTGGGAGGTAGATTATACCCACTGGTAGTACGCCACTGATTTATTTTATTGTCAACTGTACCTTGTCCATGTTTCTAACAATTTCAATCTTTTTCTCTTTAATATACCAATGAGTCTTTTTGGTATAAAATGGTAAAGATTTCTTCTTCCGCAACCTTACTTTATTATCCATCACATACTGCAAAAAATCAGGAGCTTCTTTAGGATCTGTCTTAACAGGTCCTTTTGGAGATGCTACTATTACTGGCAAGTAATCATTTTCCTTTCTAAATTCTACTAGGTGATAATTTGTTTCATCAGCCAATTGTTGATGAGTTTTCTGTAAACAAATATTTATTTTTTTTTTAAGGTTAAATTGAATTAATTTTATGAAACAAAATATTAAATTACTTAAAATATATGGCTAGAGCTCAAATTAATATGTATTCAAAAACCCAAAACATGTAAATATGTATGATTATAATTTATAAATACACTAAGCAATTTTGAACACTGTATAGTGTTTACACTTCAAAACTGCAAAGTGTGTAAATAATAATATTATAAACTAAATACTGAATAGTAATAATTATAAAATTATAAAATTGTTCAAATTGTTGAACATTTATTAACACTAGTATAAGTTGGTAAATTGTATTTAATAAATAATATATGTATTTAGATATTAACCCGAACCTTAAGTATAACTAACCTGTTTTAATAAGCCCAAAAAGAATGCTTTAACTACATTTTGTAAATTGGTAGAACCTTCTACCTTGGCATACAAATCTTTAATACCAATCATTTCACAAATTGTTTTTATGGCACGATGGCAGATTAATCCATGACCTTCAGGTCTTTTCTCCACAAATATTCTAGTGTTACAGAATTGTGTAAAGAAATCATGATACACGGTATGATTATTATACCGTTCAATATACATTAATTTTTGTCCTGCCCTATTTTTCGCGCGTCTTAGTGCAGCTCTTGAATCGGCTGCTTTGCCTAAAGCAAAACCAGCTAAGCCATTTTTGTTACCAGTAACAGTAACAACACTTATTCTTCTATAACGACCAGCATTAGCTTTCATACAAAACACAGTTTTGAATTCTAACACTTTAGTATCAAAGCCATCAAAGTTATCTGTTAACAAATAATAATAAAAAAAAATATAATACATACATATTAGGGAAAATTATATTTAAGTCTGAAAATTATACTAACATTCATTTATAGGATCTGGTGGTCCTATACTGCGACCAGGCATTTTAGATCCGGACCATCCACGTTCAGTTGGTGAGAGTCTTAACATTTTAAATGTACCCATTGAATCTCTAAGCTTAATAAGGCGAGCTTGTCTTTCAGGATCTGGTGGTAACTGAGTTCTTTTTATTAGATCTCGCCCTTTAATTATAGGAGCGTTGAGTCCAGGCCATATCATATTGTCAACACCTATTATTAAAAATATATATTTTATTTATTATAAATAAACTGTGATAGAAGCCTAAAATCTCAGATTTTATATTTTATATGGGATCAATATCTATAATAGTATTTAAATTTGTGATAAAAAATACACTTTCTAATATAAGAGAAGGTGGGCTCAGGTGCGTAGAACCTTTTTTTAAACACTAGGGTAAACTCTTATTTTGGGTACCTACTCATCCACCTTAAAATATGAGCATTTTTTTTTTAAATAGTAATAAATGAAATACAGGGGCAATCATATGTAATGTTTATTTTTAGGGGGGTTTGGAGTGAATTTTTCCGATTTCCAAGAACAAATTTTGGAAACTATACACAACTAGTAGTCACTTGCAACCGGTATTTTATAGTGGTCCCTGCTTAATGTAATCATTTTGGTACTGGACAAAATGGACAACATGAACCGACAGGTAAGTGATTATAAGCGGAGCCATGAATGTATTGATTTTACAATGATGTATTTTTTTATGATGTGTGTAATTCCATAATAATTTTCTATGAGTCTGAAGAAATAGTTTTTGAAAATTTGAAAATCATAAAAATTTTAATTTTCTGTCTAAGATTTTCAAATTTAAAGTAAGATTCCTCATAAGTCATAGGTTTATCAATTTTTAATAAAAAAAAAATGTATATCGGAATGTCAAAACTCAAAATACATTTTTATGAGCGTGTGAAATTCAAATTTTTATGACATTGGATATTTACTCGATTTCTCATGGAACGGTTTCCTTATTTTGTTGTAATTCAAAAACAAACAACCGTAGACACATGAAATTTACACTAAATATTTATTTTATAATTTTTTATACTTGATAAAATGTTGAAAATATTTTGAGCTGTTTACAATCATTTGAAATTTGAAATTGTTTTAGTTTTTTTCTGTAAATGTCAATAAAATTTTATATATTTGGCTAAAAAGTTTGAAAATTTAATACAAGGCTCCTTTACACATTGTTACAAAATCAGTTTAAAAATATTAAAAATACATAACTTTTTTTAAAAACATTTGAAGTTAAAATTTCAACAACATTTATCAAATTGAAACTTTGTAAATTATTTTGTAGTTACAATTGTATATGATGTTCAATTTGCATAACTATAAGAATTGAAAATGTAAGACAAGGTTCCACGTATGTAGTTCATACTGTAACCAAAAAAATCTAAAATATATATAAATAGTTATTTTTTTATAGACATTTGAATGTTCAAATTTGAATGAAATTAGATATTTAAGCACTTTTAGCAACTTGAAACTTTTTTGGGTTATATTTTATATACCCTATGACACTTTTAAATGCAATTTTGTCGGCAAAAATTAATTTAACCTACTGTAGGACTAATTCCTAATAATAAAATAAATTACTTTAATCACAATAACATCATTAATAAACTTGAAGGGTTACGGGGAAAAACGATAATAGTCAATATTCCTAAAGTGTTCAGTATTGCAGTTTTAAAGTGGAACTCTGGCCTTTTTTTATCGTTAGGGTAATATTTAAACCTGTATTATATCATTGACCGTGATCTTTTTTCCCTAACTCGATTCACGCGTCGATTCGTTATGAAACTAACCAAAAGGTACTATAATTATTTGATTTTTTCTTTCTTTTGACTATGATTGTTTTTCCCCGTAACCCTTCACTTAGTAATACTATAGGCTGACAGTCTCTGCTCAGAATTGTTTTCCATATACAGTGATTTTATCCCTAATTTTATATCATAAATTTCAAATTTAACACATCCATTACAGTGAATCTCTAAACACCTAATATGTACAGCAGAGCGTACTTGCTTTATTTTTTTTTCTTTAAAATATTGTTTTTCTTTTACATCCTATTTGTACCTTATTTGTTTCTAATAGTTTGAAAATAGTTTTAAAAATGTGCACTTGGAAAACGACCCGTAACCCGAGTGTTACTATAATACTATTATTTCTAGGCATGAAGTAGTAGAATAGTTAGCTAGTGTGAGGGGTTCGTTAATATTATGTATCACCATTTGCCACTCAGCTAACTCCGGTGCATACTGCATACTGTCTGTAATTCTGTATACCTACTATTTAGTATTATCACTATATTATACTATACCGATAATATGTCAAGTAGTCATCCACCCACCTGGTCACCTCCTACCATCTAAAAAAGTTCTGGGTATTTACCCAACTAGCCATACGTGCTCGGCGCCACTGGGTGGGCTATTGTGTGTGTACCAAGGCTGTAGATAGAATCTTACAACTCCGCCAATGGTTGTGGCTAATGCGTACCAAGTTAATGTAATACAGCATCACTTAATTATGCAAACAAATGCCTAGCTTGTCTTTTGCAAAAATGTACACAGTTAAGTGATTATTTTGACGCTAACAATGAAAACCGAATCATCAAAGGGTGTAGTTAGAGTGTCTGACCAAAAATTGGTTGTTACACTAGTTTAGTCTTATAAGAGACAGTAAAGTGATTAATATAGCTACTGACAATGGGTGTTTTTACACTAAACATAGGTAGTTTTAAGATAAACCCATAAAAAAAACCTTAATTTATTAGTTATTATTTTGTCAAATTTGAGAACATATTAATATTATTAACCTAATTGAATAAATCACAAATGAAAAGCAATAGATATTTACCTACACCAATGACTTGCCCTCTATTAAGATTTTTTGCTCTTTTTTTACCAGCACCTTTACCACGACCACGTTTTTTACCAGCATTACTTACACTTGTGACACTTTTCCAAATGTGTTCAGCCGTATCTAAAAATTAAATATATTAACACATTAATAACTTATCGAAGATGGAAATTTTTGTAATTTATTAATTAAACAGATACATAAGTATAGTACTAAAATAATATAGTAAATAAATTATAAATTGTTAAGGAAAAAATGATTAATGACACTTACGTTTTTTAAAAAAACTTTCATTACGGACTTGCTGAACACATACAGATTGAAACTGTACTATTCTAGTCTGAGGCGCAATTAAACTTCTATAGCATCTAGTATAATCTTTCAAAATGTCAGGGCCTATAATTTAATAAATGTACAAGGCAAAAATATAATATATATCACTATACATGTCACTATCAAATAGTTAATACATTTTAATTACAATTTACTTACGTTTGATAGAAACCACACTTTGAGCAATATTAATACTCTTAGGAGAAAGCAGTCGCTTCAGCATGGACATCATTTTATTTGTATATGTAATATTACCATAGTTTTTTAGTTTAAAAATTAACAAAAATCTACCTTTTAGAATAAAATAAAAAATGAAAAATTATAAATAATGTAAAATCGTTCACAACCCGCCGTCCACCACCCGGGTTCAATACTTGATTCATTCTTCAATATCCTTTAATCACACTATCACTGAATAGATTACAGGCCGGACCGCTTATCAGCAGTGTTGATGGGCCCGCGTAAAAATCAGGATGATAATTACCGGGACCCGTACTATTTTGGACAGAATTTATTAAGGAATAACTTTGATGAATGAATGATAAGTCGTGGGAAGTATCCTTTAAATGAATTATATAAATTGAGACAACATTTTTTTGGATTAATATTGGGAAGGATCCGTACTTTCCAGGACAGATTTTCTCAGGACAGTTTCTAATGGGATAAGTGTTATGTCTAGAAAATATTATTACAGAATGGTATATTTTGGGATTAATATTGGGAAGGATCCGTACTTTTCAGGACAGTTTTTTTATGGGATTAGTTAATTCCTAGAAAATATTATTACAAAATGGTATTTTTTGGGATTAATATTGGGAAGGATCCGTACTTTTCAGGACAGTTTTTTTATGGGATTAGTTAAATACCTAGAAAATATTATTACAGAATAGTATTTTTTGGGATTAATATTGGGAAGGATCCGTACTTCTCAGGACGGTTTTTTTACGGGATTTGTTAAATATATGGGAAAATATAATATTATTTTTATGGTAACAAGTTATTAACCAATAAAACAGCTGCTGTACATTATCATTTATTGTGATAATATTGAATACTGATAACACAAAATAAATTTATTAATCACAATATCACATTAATTTACTAAAAAGTAAAAAGTAAAGTGCCTACCTATTAACTGTTAATTAATCGACAGTATTCGACACTCGATAGTTATACCTCTAATTAGTTGTACTATATGGTTTTGATGTGTTTATCTATACTTTTATTGCCTTATATAGGTAACATGTTTACTATTTTTAATGTATAGTTATAAAGTACATAACTATTTAGGTGACTTTTCTAGCATAACTTACAAGATGTTCGTTTTATACCACTACAGAATCCAGTAATAGCATTATTCCTCTATTCATATTATATTATATCATTTAAAAGCAAGTATGTGTTGTATTATATGGCAGGATATTAATAATTAAAATTTGGTATACCTTATTAAATATTCTGTAAGTTGCCAGATAACTTTGTATGTTAGCATAAACACTGCTAACCGGTAGTTCATTATATTCAATGTTATTTACTCAATAAATCAACAATCATTATAAAATATTATTTAAAACAGATATTATTTAACCGAATTGCTCAATATTATTTATAATTGATGATTTTTATTTATAATTGATGATTCTCTTCTGTGTGCCAAGCTATCTGACAACGACAGTACATGCCTTAGTTATTAGCATTTATATATATACACATCCCCTAACATATTACACAATAGGTTATAATAGGTTAATTTATTAATTTTAAAATAAAGTATACATACTATCAATTACTATGTAGGTTAATAAAATTAAATAAATATGTACCTACAATTAAGTAATAATTGTTTTTTAGGTACCTACCAAATGCTAACTATTGTTTAAGATAATTCATCAAATCTGACATTTAATTAAATCTTAATAGTTAATAGATAATTTATATATTTCAAAAACTGCAATACATGAAAGAAAAAATAAATATAATATTAATAAATTATAACTTGAAATAGAAATTTGAGGAAAAAAATTTAGATATGTATTTAGGTAGTTATTAATTGTTAAATAATAATTATTAACCAAATGACAAATATACAAAAAATATGTTTACCACTTGACATTCTCACTATAATACAAATTGTATGGTAGTACATATAATATTATAATATACATTAGAAAGTACATCTTAATAAACTACTTAAAAAAAAAATCCCACCAACTTAACATTAATCATATACTCTCATAATTAGAATGAAAGGAACTGCACAAATTGGACAGTTATTTTGAATCCCAGCCGTACATTCTTCACTTCCACATAGAATTTTATGTCCGCAAGGCACTATAACATGTGTACTTGCTTGGTTACAAATTATACAAGTTTGGTGGTTTGGTTGAAGTGATTGCAATGGTTGCAATGGTGCATATGGCAAATGCTGTCTCTCTTCCTCCCTTTCTGCAGCTATTATTTCCCCATATTCTATTTCAACTGGGTCCATATCTTCTGGAATCACATAGTCATCTTCGTTGTCTATAATAAAAATTTAATGAAAGTTTTACATTTTAAAATAGTATATTAAAACCATACCTTGCAAAACAAGTGGTTCTTGTTGTTGCTGGCCTGATACATGACTCGACCTATCTGAATCTATGAAAATTATATTTTAATAAAATTATGTTATGCTATATTATATATTTACTAAACTTCATTATAAAGTGATAAAAATATAATTATTTCATATAATATCATCTAATAATAATATTCAACTTTATAATAAATTTCAGTTTTATAAATAATGTAAGACTGTTTAATTTTGTAATGTACCATTGCTATAATTTGAAATGTTATGAAAATCAACTACAAAAATCTCATCTTCGGTTGCATCATTGTGCACTATGTTATTAGGGATAATATTATGTTCGTTTATCACATTATTATCCGTGGTTGTTGAATTATTCAATTGATGAATGGCTGTAGCATCGTGGTCATCGTAGTCAATTTCCGATGTAACTTCTATGCATATTTTATAATATATTATTATTTACCATACCAATAAGTAATAAACAATATTAGTGTACTTTAATATTCTCAAATTTGTTGAATTAAATATACCTCCTAACACATTTATCTGCCAATTAAGCTCTTCCCTTAAGTATCTTTCTGTTGTGTGACAGCACTGTAAAAGGAACTCATTCACTCTTAAAATACCTAGGTCTAATTGAGATGAAGCAATGCTGATACGTTGTGAATTTGCTATATATTTAACTTTTATTGGCCGAGTTACTGAATGCCCTTGTTCCAATTGATCAATTATAATGTGTGATTTTTTACTTAATTCATTTAAATGTGCTATAAACAAAACAGAAATTACTTAATTAATAATAAGTAACATATTTCATAAATGTATGCACACTTAGGTCCGATTTCACCAACACAGTTAATCACAGTTAACGCTTAATCGGCTGACAACAGATATTTAACCAGCCAAATTCGGCCGATTAAAACTCCGGTTAACTTTAACCGTGATTAACTGTGTTTGTGAAATAAAACAACTAATAGAGGTATACATATATTTTTAATACTAATATAACTCAGGTTTCACTAATTAAATTCTATACATTTCATATAGTAAATTATATTATTTTACAAAAACTTCATAACTAAAAATTGGAATTTAGTCATGCTTACTCAAAAATGTCCAAAGGTTTGGATGCATCACTTGAAATTTTTCTTTTAGTCGTCCATGAAACGATTCAATATTATTATTGGTACGCCTTGCTATTCCATGTACTGAAAACAAATACTCACCTCCATTTTGATTATTTAACCAATACCTGAAACATAACAACATCAATTTAATTTATTTATTAACATACTGTTATACACATAAGTGGCGCACCTTGAAAAATAACTAAAAAATGGTGCCATATCCATGAATATGTTCTTATCCCTGGCATACTGGCGAATTACTGTATACCCTTCATCAATTTTATTATTAGGTAATAATGCCAATGCACAAAACATCTGCACACATAATTGCGCATTTAAATTGGATTTAACAAATCGCGTTAATCCTCTTGTTCTGATATTTTTTACTAGTGCCTGAAATAAAAAGTGAGAATAAACAATACTGTTTAAGATTTACCATACAAACAAATAAAAATAATCTAGTTAAGTAGTTTAAACTTTGGCAATGTATTATTTATTAATTAATTATTCAATTTTTTTTTTCCATTAATCCATTAAATGCCAGTAGTAAATATAGAAAAAAAATTGCAACTATTAATATGTATTAAAACAATTTTTATTTAAATTTTATTGTAAAAATATTGTATGTCACAAATGGTTGATGTTTTATTGTAACTTTGTAACTTAATTCAAATAATAATTATAACACGAGCAATATATAATTATATAGGTATATGCAATTATATGAAAAATGAACCGTTAAGACTTGTATGAATATCTATCACCAATGATGATCCCTCCTTTTTAGTCTAATTACCCTTAGTGTTTAGTGTTTAACTACTTTGTAAATTATGTATCTTCTTTTTAGCATTATTATTATTTGTATTACAATGTATATTTTACTATACTTTACTTAAAAAGATGCTACATCCAGTAACATTGTCTCTGTTTTACAAATACAGAACATACCAAGTTGTACATTCTGAATAATCTATTTAACTCAGTTAATATAAAATTAATATAAGAGTGAATTGACCTATTATCAAATTTAGAAGTAAGAAAATTATCTAGTGAACCTCATAGGTTTTTTTTTAAATTTTAAAGCAAGTTATGAACATTTTAAAATTGTAAATTGTTTGTGCATTTTGAAACACTCATAACTTGCTTTAAAATTAAAATATAAAACATCTCTATAAGGTTCAGTAGATAATATTTCTTAATTTGATAATAGTTTAATTCATTCCAATGTTAATCATACTGAGTTAAATGCATTATTCAAAACGTACAATTTGCCATGTTTCGCGTTTGTAAGACGAAGACACCGCATAAGGGTGTAGCGTCCTCTTAAATCTAAAGTGTATTACCTAATTGTATTCAAAGGGCACTGCCGGTTATTAATAAATAAATAAATAATGGATACATGTTTAAATTATCATTAAAATACCTGTATATAATGGAAAAAACAAGAATGCTGATCTGCATTTGGATAAACAGATTTAAAAGCATTCAGCAACCCAGATTCAAAATCAGTCATTATATTCGCTGGAATTATAA